TCTTGTAGATATCAATGCACAAGGATTAATGGCAAACTAAGCTCATTTTTAGAAGTTCTGAGTGGTGTACCACAAGGAAGCATCATTGGGCCTATATTATTTAGTATCTTCATAAATGACATCATTTATGCCTGTAACCTATCTAAGCCCTTTCTATTTGCAGATGATGGTGCACTATTCTTTGATCAAACCTGCAGAAGCACATTTATAAACATGAAAATAGAACTTATGACAATCTTTAAATGGCTCAGTGTTAATAAATTATCACTCAATGAAAAGAAGACTGAATTCCTATTGTTTGATTCTGTTGACCAACATGATGAAATAACCATTGATTGTAATGAGGTAACTTTCACAATCAAGGAGTGCAAAGAGACAAAATATCTTGGCCTCATTCTAGATAGTAAATTAAACTTCAAAAGCCATGTAGATTATATTATTAGGAAGGTCATGAAGAGAATTGGTGCCATGTATAGAAGTAAAGCACTGCTACCCATTAAATATAGGAAAATGTTTGCCAATGCACTCATGTTGCCACAATTCGATTATTTAGACACAATCTATTGTAGAGCTGGCAAGACAAAACTTGCTGAACTTGACACTCTGTACAAAAAGGTAGCCAAAATAGCTCTCAACGTTCCAAAAACAGAGAGCAGCCTTAATGTTTATAGAGACATGAAATGGTTACCACTCCATCTTAGACGACAACTCCATCTGTCAAATTATATGTTTAGAATCATCCATGACAATTGTCCTACAAACTTTATGAACAAATTTAGTTACATATCAGGAGGTAGTAGGAGCGGCGAAAGCTGCAACCTTTATGTCAATAGATCAACATCACATAAAAACTTTCAATACTTGGGGGCAAAATGTTGGAATAATGTTCCAACAGATCTACGAAATCTGCCCGATGTTAAAAGCTTTAGTGATTCGTATAAGAAACAGCTACTCTCATCTATAACAACAGACCCTAATTATACCGTCGACAATTCATATGACAAATTTTACACTGCAATCATAGTCGACGATAACTAAGTAACTTCTAATTCTTTTAAATCTGAGGCATATATAATTGATGTATCGAAAAGATATTCCCTTTTTTACCACCTTACCATTCTGATTGATTTTTCACATGACTGACATGTTTTAACTGGAGAAGGGGTTCCCACAGTGGTAGTTTTATAAACCACTTTTAATTTATTGACCTATTATACTTAGTGGTAGTTTTATAGACCACATTTAATTTATTAACTTATCATACTTAGTATTTATTTTTGGTGACTGTATCACCCAGTTTTAACATTTGATAATTGTACAGTTTATTGACGACACATTGACTGAATGTTATTTTATATTCTAATTTATATTCTAGATATTTTATTTATTTTACAACAGACGACAACTTCCTGTTTTTTCTTATATATTAGTTACTCATATCTCTTGTACAGACTTTTTTACAAGGACATTGACAAATGATACTCACATTAGGCATTCATTATTGCATCTAAATTATTTCACTTGCATTAGGCTTAGAAATTTATTCTCTGGTCAACAGATTTCAAATGTTTAATTAATTTGTAGTATGACAGTAAGGTATATAAGAAGTTATTTAATTTTGCTTGGGCTATTATATTGACTAGGTATTGAGGTTTAATGATGATATGGAATTTGAATTCTATATAAATTTACACTATGTGGTTGGGGCATTTTGCATAGTAAATATGGTTACTACTCATATATATCATATTATTTGATTGGTATTCGATTTCTGATTATTTCTTAGGAATATGATTATTATATCTCAATTTGGCTTTAGGTAGGGTGCCCCGCTAAAAGAACTGGATTCTTCCAGGAAGCATCCCGTGCACAGACCTTGGTCTACATATATATTAAATTATTAACCATTCATTCTGTATGTGCACGAAAATTTATTTCAATCAACTTTCAGAGGTACCAATGTGGCAGGAAACCAGGGCTCATGCTGCCGCTGAGCTAAAGCAGTAGAGGAGATGGCGGCTTCTCTGGGATCTAACACATCCTGAAACAGACCAACACTATGTCCCAACGCACTGGTGTTGAGATGTCTGCCCCCGGTGCCTGCCCGGGTCAATAAAGCAGTCAAGCATCATGAATGTTATGTTGAGCATTCTCAACCAGCAGATGTGGGTACTCCCACGAAAGACCGAAACAGATCTAAAGAGACAATTAGCAAAATCGGAAAATAGACTTGAATTTGTTTATATAATTTATAAAGTGTATGTTATTGCCCACAAGGGGCCTGTTAATAATTAATTAAATTATTAGCTATTTTAGATTTAATAATATTAGTACCATTATAATTATCTCTATTATGATTCGAAACTTTCTCTTCGTACCACCACACACGTGCAAATTTGATGAGAAATAAGAAGTTAGGTGAAAGTCAAAGGTTGCATAGCAACGGTGTTGGAATGCACACCTACAATGATTGTTGGAACAGCATTTTGTTCAGTTTTGTGGTAATTACGTTGTGTTTAAAGTGTTTTATATTTAAATCGGCTGTATCCTCAGTTGGGATGGATATTTTTTATGCGATAAAAACATTTCTATCCAAGAGTACTATTACCTTGGCCTTCCTCCCTGTGACCACAGCTTTTCTAGTAATGTATAATTCGAAAGATTATTTCTGTCTGTATGTATCATGTATGTATATATGTATGTATGTACGACCGCCCTTGTGTTAGAACGAGAGTTTTAGCTTTTCTGATAACTTTACTTAACTTTATTCATTACATGTAATCAGGTCAGCCAAGCAAAATTTAAGCCGAACGAAATTTCAGCCAAACAAAATTTTAGCCAAACAATAGATTAACTCATCGCCACACGTGCTTTTATTTTATGTTACGTTGCACGTGTTGTACTGTTGTAAAATATGCGCGCATCTAGCAGTAGCACTGCTAGCTGCCTGATCCGACCACTGTGACATACGTTGCATGCCACTTTTCCCGCGCGAAGCGCGCGCCGTCGAAGGCGGAAAAAGGGGCATACAATGAAGGAAATCAGACTTTTTGGCCGAGGGACGCATATTTTGCGCCCCCATTATCCTATTCGACCAAATATGGGAGTAATTTAACCAAAACAGTTAAATGCATTGTTTGTAACTAAGTTGCAATATTTGTGAGTTTATTCACATAGCCATGTGCCTACGCGTACTGCGTGACGCGCTTGTTTCACGGCGGTCGCGCGCTACTGCAAGCGAGAGGGCTCTGGTTAGAGCAAGTGAGTTTACTTGGTATCTTTGTACTATTTTTATTATTTAAATGACTTTATCATTTATTAAGTCGTGAGAACAAAGCGCCAGGAAAATAAGACAATTTTTCGCGCGAACTTGTAAATTTATTTACGCCGCGCAGAGGTGTGCCTTCCTGGTATATCCATATTATCTCTGATTTTGGGATACGAAACATGTATTAACGACCACTTTGTTTTTAGTTCTGTGGAGTGTGGTTGCTTTGCTGCGCGCGAGTTGGTTTCGTTTACACGTCGATTCACAATTGATCATTGAGACTTTATTACTTTTTGCAAACAAAGCTAAATGTCCGAGTCTACTGCGAATTCAGGTGACGATGTAAAAGTTCTTGAGGTTATTTTTGACAAAAAATGTGCATTTTCATTTGAATGGATAAACTGAAAGTTTTGAACTAATCTTTAACGATCGCGATTCTTATCAAAATTGCAATTGTGAATTGACACTCTATACTACTCAAATATTAATATAACGGGTGACACTCGTAAAATATTTGTTTCAAATATTATGTCGTCGATTCCAACTCAGCGCGCGTCCTTGGCCTTGTAGGTTATAAACCTGCAACTCAAGTACACTTTTATGAAACTCGTAGTCGAACTGTACTCCAAGATTCGCACCATTTGTTTTAACAAACTTTCAATGTTCGGGAATTCCGATTTCCGTGAAATTCCCGATTTTCGGGAATCCGGGAAATTTTTCCCGATTTTCGGGAATCCCAGGATTTATTTCGGTCGGTATTCCCGAATCCCGGGATTTGAAAATGAGATTGGGAATGACTTCACTACGGCCCAGTAATTGGTAATGCATCGCGCTGCAAGTTTTTGGATTGAAGCTTTTTTGTTTCATGATCGAAATTTCACAGTTTTTATTGAATTTTTGACCAGTGACCAATCAGCGAGGTCAGTGTCAATAATATAACACAAGTCACAAGTGCATCGAGGTACTGGAAGCTAAATATCAGGAGAATTAGAAAACTGTGATGAAAAGAAAATGTAACTATGAAAACTAAAAAGCGTAAATCAGCAAAGCCAAAAGAAAATGACTTTTTATTTGCTAAATGGTAGAACATTATTCGTGGAACATTATGAGTATGACTTATGTGTGATGTAAATTGTAAAGTAATGTTTAATCTGAACCAGTCAACCATCAATAAAATCGATTATAATTATATAATTTATAAATATTAATAACACATTTGCATCGATGATTGAATAACAAGAATTTTGCCGCGGTTACACCACGCACGATTAATTTTCCCTGCTTAAACCGTTAACATTTGCAACTAAACGAAAAGATAATTTTATCGATTAATAAAAATTGGATTATTTTGTTGTTAAAAAGTTGCAATATTTTCATCGTAATTTGTTATTGCGCGCGTGCAGGATAATCGAATATTTAGTACGCCGCGCACAAACTTTGGGCTAATTTAATTTGAACAGCATCGTTTGACAATTGAAATTCGCGTTGGATACTGCAATTAACTAACACATGCCGAGCGTCGCGCGCAGCATAACAGACGTTTCCTATACTCATAATTGTAGGGGAGTGGTCTATATTGCGAAGGAGCAGACTTTTGTCGTCAACGTAGGACCGTCGGGCCACCTCACATATCCAAACCCGATTACTTATTTCCTACGATCTTTTTGCCTTCGGCAAGAGCAGGGAAAAAATTAGTGAGACACAATTATGTTTATCATTTATATCATATATTAATAAATTATATTAATAAAGTTTAAAATTTTCAAAGATACACGATCTAAAAATGTTTTCATCAAATAAACGGTGAGGTAATCTTTTAAAATGTAAAAGCAAAATTGTTTAATCATTAATAAACGTTGATACCCTAAAAGCTACAATTCATCTTTTTCCGATGCGATCAAATTTTGCATTAATCTTTGAGCCACCTGCTTGAGGGTTAACATAATTCCAGAATGTATACCAGAGTAAGCAGGATTCTTTGTTTCCTTTTTTCCGGGGTTATTTCTATGCTTCTTGCTGGCATCTAGCCAGGCCTGAAGTAAAATTTTGGAAAACTTGTGGAGAGCGATAAAGTTAGTTAATATTAATAAGTATTGCAAAACTTTGAATATTATAGCGAAGCCGAAACGAAGCGACTGTAAAACAACCACGGCAGAAAAAGAGCACGCCAAATCCTGTGTGCGGCCTCGTACTATTTCTTCCTTAAAAACGTCAGAGAAATAGTAAAATTGAAAATAGACCAGAGCGACGAGATTAGCAAGCTGATTAAGTACAATCTAAAACTAAACTAACCTGCCGTGCTTCTTTTCTGGTTCTTGTAGGTCTTTCTTCGGTGTTCTTGTGTTGAACAGCTCTGATATTTGAGTTTATCATCAGCATACACTTCGCGACAAGAACCTGATCATGATGCGGGACAGTCAATAATACTAGCAAATTAATTTAACAGAGTTTGAGTTGAGCTGACTTGTGAACTCGACAACTATACAAAAAACGCCCTACGATAATTAAGGAGGGTATAATAAACGTGTTTTTAAACTTAAAATAATAAACTGATCAGTTTTACCTCCCTGTTCTCTCGGTATAACAAGGTTTCAATATGTTCTGTGAAGTACTCTACTATCTTTATTATCGCTAAAGAGATGAGACAAATTGTCGTTATTATCCAGAAGTGATTATTCTTTATTTCCTTTCAGGATAATAGCTACATTCTTCAAGCTTAGCAATCAACTTATTGGGTCAAAAATCGTGCTTTAATAGAGCTGTACTCAAAAAAGAAAATGTAGCAGATTTTTGTACTTTTCATGAACTGTTCCGAGAATTTATTTTCTCTTGGGGTAATCTTCCTTAAAAACTTCTTGCTGATAAAGTAGGGCTGAGTATTGCCATCCAGTTTTACCTAAAATAGATAAGAGACTCATTCGAGAGTTATATTACTGAGACCTCCTGATTGGTCGAGAAAACTGATATTCCGATGCAAACATAACGAGACAATTATAATAGATTCAGGTCAATAATTTACCTTTAATATCGAGTTAGCAAAACTTTGGATGAAAGAATCGGGTAGGAGGTCTTCAATCTCTGAAATTTCTTTATCACAATCCTCTTCGTATTTAATGCGTTGAAGACAAGCTGATAAGAAGTCCTCAAAGTCCGACTCTATAACTGAAATCGAATTCACCATTTCAGAATAAATTTCACTGCTTGCATCAATTTCGACACGCAATCATGAAATAAATCTTCCGAATATTTATCGCAAATGACATCCAAAGGTAACAATTGGAGATATTTAAATAGGCCCGGTGCTTTAAACAATATATTTTCTCCAATCTCGGTCTTACGAATAAAGCAAGAAAAGGCGTCCCAAGAAACTAATTAAGCCTGAAACATATTCAGATTGAAGGATTCAATGTTAGAATTATCCACTTACACTGAACACATTTAGCAAATCCATCTCCAGAACCACACTTGAAATACGCCGGACACGTCACTAGATCACAGGAACCAGGTTGACAAGAAGCCGGGTCCCCGCTCCACTGTCCGTCCTCCCCACACTCCCGGACCGCTGAGCCGACCAGAATATGGGTCACGTGACATGTTGTTGTGATGGAGGAGAGGGTTATGTGCTGGGTTCCTGTTCCTTCTTCGAGCTGCGCTAGTTCCGGGCACTCTGCAGGTGTTTTAAGCTAGGTTAACAGTATCAGGAGTATGTTTTGTTTCGCTTTGACTCCACAATACACTGTTTATGGTGCTCAATGAACGAAAATGTGTATTTTGTGTACTTCTCGTATCATGTTGTCATACGTACTTGGCCGACAGTGAGGAATATTCGTGTTCCATATTCCTTTCTGGGTACAAGAGATAACAATATCTCCGGCAACATGTTCACTATTGTCACTATAATCAGGGAAATAGCCGATGTCGCATGTGATGAGTGCGGTGAGATTGCGATCATCAACTGTACCATGCTGTATGGTGAGAGCTGGACATCTTGATCTGGGTTTATTAGATAATTCGGTTAGAGATGATCGGGGCTGTGGGATCAAGGAGATGAGATCAATGATATATTGAAGGAGGGAAGGAGTAGGTTTTTACTAACCTGCAAATGGCGAAATATTCCATTTCAAGACAGAATTGGCCAGTTTCACAGTTCATAACGCTACAAAAAGTAGGATCACATGATGGGATTATATCACTCCATAGACCAGTTGGAAGACATTCAAGAGACCTGGATCCTACAAAATATCTGGGTAAGTTGCGTGGCGTTCAATTAAAAGCTTACGATTCCATTTTTATCTTGTCCTACCTTCTCGTTATTAATGTTGGGACATCAATAAATATATCTTTATGCCTAGCTTTAAAAGAAACGTCTTTGCAAATACCTCTCAAGCGGTAGTTTGACGTTTTTGCAGACGATGTAGGCGCTACTGTTGTCGTTTTCTACAAATCCATCAGAATCGTGAACTCAGGACACTCTAAGAAAATCAATAAAGGGTGTGAGAATTAAAACGTCTCCACGATGAACCACAATAAAAACTCAACTAAAATTACGACAGCTTGATTTGCAGTTCAGTTATATACCAAGCAACGAGCTTGAATCAGTCAGACAAGTCTACTTTTGAAGCATTGAGGTGAGATGGGGTTGTGGAAAAGGGTCGTCACTGTGTATATAAGGAGGAGGATCAGGGGTTACCAGCCTACAGTATTCGTTTTCTTCGCATTGTGTATGTCTCACAATCTTGCAGTACACATTTTCCCGGAAGTGGTTCCCATCTGAAACAGATAGCATTGATTACTGAGTGATACAAATCAAATAGCACCGGGTCAAGGTTGCGGAGACTGAAAGCGACAAAGCGACAAATATTAAGGCTTGATGTCCATATAAAAAGATTTTCTGTCGATTGATATCCAAATATTTTGAATAACAACCCAAGAAACTTATGCTAACTCAGTCAAGATCGCAGGAAGATTAAAAATCAAATAGGCCCGAACCTGCCGTCTAGTGTACACATGTGTTTACTGTTCACAGAGTACGAGTATTTGTTGTCACACGTGACCTCAGCTGTCGTTCCCGTGATATTCACGTGTCCGTCTGGCACCAGGAAACCTTCACACGCTGCAAAAGAATTTAAACAGTTTATCAATAAATCATCTCAAATGTTATTTTTAAGATGCAAGGAGTAATGAGTAAGGAGTAATGAGTAATGAGTAAGGAGTAAGGAGTAAGGAGTAAGGAGTAATGAGTAAGGAGTAAGGAGTAAGGAGTAAGGAGTAAGGAGTAAGGAGTAAGGAGTAAGGAGTAAGAAGTAAGAAGTAAGGAGTAAAGAGTAAGGAGTAAGGAGTAAGGAGTAAGGAAATTTAAGGTTTGCAACATACCCATGGTACATGTTGGTAGGTTATCAATGATCCTGCAATCCCTAAACGGAGGGCAGATCATTTCTTTGCACGTGGGACAGTTTGCCATTATGTGCGGAGACCTACGATAATAAAGTGTTAATTAAAACTCTACTTATGTGGTGGATACTACTCTATAAATAACTGATTTCTCAAAAACTAATTTACTTTATAAATTCGTATTTTTAACGATCTCTGAGAGAACACGGTACTAAGCGACCACTAACGTATCACCAGATGCAGCACATATGAGACTAAGAACACAGGATCCTAAACTCTCATCAAAACACTTCACAGAGCAAACCCCATCTTCAGTTATCACCGCCTCACTTGTGCCTTTAGTGACATCTTCTGATTCCCTCCTGTCATGTTTCATGGATAATATCGTCAAGACTTCCAAAATAGAACATGTATTGTTGGTATTAGGCGACGGTACGGCTGCTTTAAGATTTAAAGTGTAAAGAAAGCAAAACATTAAATTGTAGCATACCAGTGAGTTAAGCTGTCTCCCTCAATAACAGCCACAGTACAGGAAACAGGAGAAGGGTGAGATGAAACTGCACAGGAGATGCTGGGGTGGTTTGAAGCTGTGGATCTCGTGTGGATTAGTTCCGGGATCTCAGAGAAATAGTCGCAGTGATCTGGTACTGTCTTGTTTTTCACACAAACTGCATATCCCTATAATAAAATTGCTGTTTGACCTCTCGGATTGTATTATCTTAAAGTTAGCTTTCAGTTCCCCTTTTAGTTGGAGAATGAAGGAATAAATACTGACATTAACTTCACAATGATGAAGAATTTATCTGAGAAGTAAGACTTTCAGTTTCGTTACGTACAGATGAAGACAGAGCACTTACCGTCATTTTAACGAGGTTATTGTTGGGAGAGTTTGTGAAATAACAGTCTTTTCCATTAACACTAATCTCACTACCCTCACAGTTCCCGGGAAAATCTGCCCTGCAATCAAACACGCAGATTGCGATGAAAGTACAATAAACCTCTAATCAAATCCTTCGGAACTCTGAAATGCTAACCCAATATATTTCAGCAATCTAACGCAACAATACTTACGTTTGAAGACACCTACACGTCCAGACGACATGACCACCTGGACATCGGGCTCTGAACCGCCATCTGCCCAGCCCACCGGACCAGCCGGGTAGCATCAAACACTGGTCTGGAGACAGCTAGAGTTCCTCCTCCCTCATCTGGACGGGTTTTGAGCGTCAGTGTTATGAGTTGTATGTTATTTGTTATTAATATTTGACAGCATTTTGTTTGCACTCTTTTGATCACTATATAAGTTTGAGTAAGTTTGTGCTTAGAAGAGACTGAAGGTCTACACTGCCAGATTTGGTTGCTGTACGGGGACCTACCAGGTGAACACCACGTCCTTTCCTCCCAACTCCCTGACTCAAGACATGTCACCATCCTCCTACCCAGTAAAGAGAAACCCTCGTCACAGTTATAAGTAGCATGGGTTCCATTTTGAAATTCCACTGTCCCGTTTAGAGGAGCCTGGGCTTCTCCCCAACCTATTTAAACCAGTTACTTACGAGTTTAGAGGACCTGGGGGTTCTCCGCAAACCGATGTAAAACCGTTACGACGGAGTTCAAGGAGCCTGGGCTTCTCCGCAAACCCATGTAAATCCATTACTGTACGAGTTTAGAGGGGCCTGCTTTTCCGAAAACCCGATTAAACCAGTTACGTACAAGTTTTTAAGGGGCCTGGGGTTCTCCGCAACCTGAGTAAATCTCAGTTTTCGTACGGATTTGAGGGGCCTGGCTTCTCCGCAACCCCGATTAAATCTCAGTTACTGTACGGGGTTCAGAGGAGCTGGCTTCTCCGCAACCTGACGAAATCTCAGTTACGTACGGAGTTTAGAGCCTGGGCTTCTCCGCAACCATTTAAATCTCAGTTACTGTACGGGGTTTTTGAGGAGCCTGGCTTCTCCCAACCTGAGTAAATCTCAGTTACGTAAAAGGATTTTTTGAGGAGCCTGGGGTTTCCGCAACCTAGAAACTCAGTACTGTACGGGGTTCAAGGAGCCTGGGGTTCTCCGAAAACCTGCGTAAATCTCAGTTACTGACGGAGTTCAAGGAGCCTGGCTTTTCCGCAAAACCCGATGTAAATCTCATTTTCGTACGGAGTTTGAGGGGCCTGGGCTTCTCCCAAACCCGATTAAATCTCAGTTACTTTCGGATTTAGGGGGAGCCGGCTCCCCAACCGATGTAAATCTCATTACTGAAAGTTTAAGGACCTGGGCTCTCCGCAACCTATTTAAAACTCAGTTACTGTCGGATTTAGAGGGGCCTGGCTTCTCCCAACCTGGGTAAATCTCAGTTACTGTACAGAGTTAGGGACCTGGCTTCTCCCCAACCTATTAAATCTCAGTTATGTACGGAGTTCAGAGGAGCCGGGGTCTCCGCAAACCGATTTAAAACTAGTTACTGTACGGGTTTAGAGGACCTGGCTTTTCCGCAACCTGATGTTTAAACCATTACTGACGGGGTTTAGAGGGGCCTGGGGTTTTTCCGCAAACCCGATGAAAAACCATTACGTACGGACCTGGGGTTTCCCAACCTGATTAAATCTAGTTACTGTACAGATTTAGAGACCTGGGCTTTTCCGCAACCTGATTAAACTCAGTTACTCTAAAGAGTTTAAGGGGCCTGGGGGTTTTCCGAACCTATTTAAACTCATTACTGTACGGACCTGGGCTTTTCCGGGAACCTGATTAAATCTCGTTACTGTACAAGTTTAGAGGGCCGGCTTTTCCGCAAACCCGATGTAAAATTTAGTTTACTGTACGGGTTTTGAGGGGCCTGGGCTTCTCCGCAACCCGATGTAAATCCAGTTACGTAGGAGTTCTCCCAACCTGATGTAAATCCATTACTGACGGAGTTTTCCAAACGTCAATTCGAAAAACTCTGGAATGTCAGAAATTTAAAAAATTGCCGGGGAATCCGAAGTGCTAAAGGGGGAAAGGGTTTTTCGAGAAAGGAAAAGATTTAAAATTTACCAAGGGCAGCTAAAACTTTTGACCATATAAAAAACATACCCCCAAAAACAAGAGGGATAGCAGGACCACCCAGGGCAACTTGTCATCACACATTTAGATTTAAGTTTGGAAACGTAAGGGGGGGGGTCCCCCCTTTCCCTTTAGACACCAGTTTTTTCCCTTTCCCCACAACGTCCGGAGATTCAAAATACTTGTTTGAGCTGGGGGTGAGGTTTTTTCAATTTGCCAAAATTTTTTTAATCGGGGTGGGGGGGAAATAATCCGGTAGAATTCGATATTTATAATCAGGTAAATATCCCTTTGATGGGGACACGGTAACGGATATCCAACATTCACAAAAACTTTAAAAGTAGAGAATAAAAGTAGCAAGAGATGACTGAAGGTATATCACCTTTTACCAAAAACGTCGAAAGAATCCTGGGTGATCACAGGATCGGCGAGTACAGACCATACAGTTTACGCACCCACCTTTTGCTCAGAATTCTTGGGTGTTGAAATGTATGCTAATTGGTCGTTTATTACTCCAGTCCCTTTGTTTAAAAGAAGTAATAATTATGTACGTCTGGAGTTAACTTCATCAATAATACAATATCAATCTGTCAAATATCAATATCAGACTAAATTCGAATAAATAATCAAATATTATTTTGTTATCGATCCTGAATAAAAAGTAAGTTAAGTTAAGGATATTAAAAAATTAAAAAACTTACAACCAAGTGGTTTTTTAAAAACGCCCCCCAAAAATTGATCTGAGAGCTTTTCAGTCGAAATACAATCATGATAGAAATATTAAGTGTGTTAAGTGGTTGCTGCGTGCGATAAGAATAGATTATGCAATTTAAAAATTGTTGGATTCCAAGTTTCTTATAAATCAGCTGCCTGTACTTGTAATAATAGTGCATAGGTTCTCAATTTTATCAAAGTTAATGGAAGATTTCTAGGCAATGACCTTGAGGTTAGAATTTTTTTTAGAGACAGTGTACATAAAGCTATGGCTGCAGTGAACAAAAAAGTATTTGATTTATTAGACAGAAATAACCGTTTTTTAATCGTTGTACGGGTTGACTGTTGATGGCCTCCTAAGGGGAGTATAAGGGCAGTGGTACTTGAATAATCTTAGTAGAGAATTCTGAAATGCAATGGTACTCTGAACAAGTTTTGAACTGTAGAATTTTTAGTCTATTAAAAAATGGGTTTTGTATGACTCCTTTTCAAATTGGTTATTGGCTAATCTGATGATACCTATGGTCTAGTTCTTGCACATGTTGATTGGTTTATCTAGATATGAGTCGAGATCACCAAACGGGATCCTTATACAGTGCTTCTGAGTGATAAAAAGACTGTATTGGACCGTTCCTGAATGGACAAACACCCCAAACACTTTATCCATAACTGAGATGTGATGTCAAAAAGGCCTTATATATTTTCAAGTATAGTTCTGAAGGTATAGAGTGCCGGATTTCTTACAGATTGCACCAGTCATGGTCCGCAGCTTTTTGCGGATATGTAGTGCATTTGGGGGCAATCCGTTTAGCTTATATCTATAACAACACCTAAGAATTTGGTCTCCTTGATCTTTGTGTACTTACCATCGATGATATTGATCTATTTCATCTAGCAGGTTAGCAAATGGTCTAGGTCCGCGCCACTAGGTGTCATCATATTCAGAGGCATTGGTTTAAAATGTATGTAGCAGCATTTGGACATGTTGATATGAAGATAGATTACATTCATTGTAAATCGAGACATGTTTTTGTACTAAGTTGGCTTCTCTTTTTATTTGTTGCTTCTCTAGATGGTCCTGATATGAAGATATTAGTGTCATCAGCATTAAAGTACAAATTTCACCTCACTGTATGAAAAACAGTTTACTATATCGATCATTACAGTCGATGAGTAGTGGCCCAAGATTGACCCTTGTGGTACTCCAATTTCACGGCCATTGTTTACTGATGGTACTCGTTATACATAACACATTACTGCTTTCTGTTGTCAAATAGCTTTTAAGTAGGTAGTGGAGAAATACCCCATAATACCGTAGGAATTTACTTGCTTAGAAGAATATTGTGATCAAGGGTGTCAAAGGCTTTGCTCAAGTCAATGGATATGCCCAATACATGTTTATTGATAGCCAGAGACTTTGTAACGGAAGTTATTGATTGTGTAGAGCATGCAGTGTAGAATGGCCTTTTCTAAATCAAAAACTGTGAGAGGTTGTAGTCACACCTTAGATTTGAAAGAAATTATAAAGGCGTTTGTTTTGTAAATGATCTTCTCAAAGATTTTTCCAAAATAAAGGTAATATGATACAGGCCGATAATTTTCAATTCATTCATTCCTTTGGTCTTTCTTGTAAATAGGAATACTTTACCAGTTTTAAATATACTTGGAAATGTTCCCACTTTGTATACATTGCGTTGAGTGTACGAAGCCTTGGCCAACGGGTACCGCAATGAGCTTTGCAGATTTTTTTACAACGATTTTATAGTATGTCATGCCTTGCCATTTTGGAAATCTCGATGACCTCGTCAAATCTCGTCTTCATTAGTTGTTCTTCTAGGTTTATGGAGTCAGATATGAATTAGTCATGACTGGCAAATGATTTACTGAGAATGGTTCAGAGAAATATATTGTTTGACAATACATTTTTATTTAGATTACTTGCAAGTCTTGAGATGGAAAATTTTCAACAAAATTTGTTAAGCAATTATTCGTCTGCAAGTAACTTCTTGGCCAATATGACAAAATCGTCCTTACATCTAGACATTTTTACCACAGAGTTCATTTATAACTTCCCAGTCTTTTTCGAATTCATGCTTTTACTTCTCGAATTTTTGAGTATTAGCACATAGCCTTTGCCATATTTATTGACCTTTTGAGATACTTGACGAATTCTTGTAGTAGATGTGTTGTTTGGGTCCCCGTCAGTAGTTGTAATGTACAAGTCTTCTTCATTCGAAATACAACTAGCTTTCTTATCGATGGAATTAATTGGCCTGGGTAATCCAAGGGTTGGTTATGCTGGTACGTTTGTGGTTCTAGGAGTTAGAGTTTGCATAAGGAAAAATCTATCATTTCTTGAAATAAACTGCATTGAAAGAATCTATGTGTTACAGCTGTGGTGGGAACCTATTTACATCGTTTTCTATCAAGAACAGAGAGCATTTTCTAAGTTTAGCATTACTATAGTCGTAGTGTATAGTAATTTTGTCTGAGGGTCAGGTTTGGCACAGGAGTCGGGGAAAGTTCATAAAGAGTGAATATAGGGTGATGTGGGAGATTTGTCAGATATCCACACCAGAAATTAAGGGTGTGATTACCTACATTGGTATGGTTATTGTAAATACAGGTCCTGGAACAGCCAGGCATTTGGTGAGTTGGTACTGATATGGTTGGTATGAAGCCGTTGTTGAATGTTATTTCTTGGAATTTGTCCTCTGATG